TTAGTTACCTGAAACCTGCATGGGTAGTAAGTAGCTTCCCTCGACAATGTCGACGCTTCTGGCAAGTAACAGCATTTCAGGTTGTTTTTAGATGTGAGATAGCAGACTGATTGGACAATAGCTCTTGGGCTCGTCTGGAGGCTTCTTGGGCTTCAGAATGGCAATAACTTTAGCGGTCTTCCGCTTCGATGGAATAATGGATGGTGTAATGCAGGTCGAGAGAGAAATGCTTAAAGTCATGAAATAGCTTTGTGACACAGGTTCTCGAGGAACTCTGTGTGTATGTTATCATTGCTAGTGCTTTGCCGAACTTTATTGAGTTCAGTGCAGTTTCAACCTCACCCGACTCGAAGGCTTAAAAGTACTATGTCCCATTTGCAGGTCCAAAAAATAAGAAGGTTAAATTCCAACGGCATTTGAAAGACAATACTAAATTAGAACTTCCCTAAAAAAAAGGGGGCTTGAAAATGTCTTTCACTGGGAACATAACGACTATTAGTTGTCGAATCGACTTAGGAACAATAGAGCCAGTAAGTAATAGTCTGATTTTTCAAACAATTGTACCGAAAGGTCGTATGTTTTAAGATTCAATCAGTTTAATTTTGGCCATTACAAGAAGTGGGTTATTGTTGTAGACAAATGCTCAAGTACCCTTTACAACTCTGTTCATGTATGTTATTACCAAAAATGAAAAAAGCCAGTCAGTCACTCAATAGTGTCTGACAGTGAAGTCTAGCAAGTAAATGGGTTTCCTTGCATAATTTGAATATTAGGACACTGCTCAAGATTAAATTTCACAGATAGGACATACATAACATATTCATAATTCCTGCAAAGTTCTACAGAATTTGATGTTGGCTGCAAAAGGGACATAGTATTTTTAAGACATGAAGGTTGATTCTGGAGTGGACTTGAGGAGTTTATTCATCTCAGAATTCACTAAGCGGGACTGCGTTTGGGCCGCAGTGGTTTTATCTTACCACTTCCCATTCTTTACTAGGACTGAAGCGATGGAGTTTGCAGTATGAAGCACTGCTTCGACCAATGAACATGTTGATAGTAGTCCAGGCCTTGCGACTAGAGTGGGTAAAGCTGATCTCAGAAACTTCTTCTTTCCACCTAGTCTTCCTGTTTTTATAGCGCTGGTATACAAATACAGTTTCTTAGCGCTTAGTAATATCAGCCGGTCGTTCCCTACGGCTTCTCACTCTCCAATGGTCTTGAAATTATTGTAGGCTTCATAGAGACGGTCGCATTCTCTGTTCCAGCATAGAATACACGGGTGTATAATGATAATGATAGTAATGATAGACAACAATGCATTATCTACCAAGTGTCATCTTCTGTATGCCTTCTACTCTATACTATGGATAGTGTATCATATAATTATGTATATATATGTTTATAATATCACATGTGTGTATGTACACAAATATATATTGACGGAATCAAAATTCATGAAAGGTAACACTATCATAACATGACAATATTTTAATTCCATCATTTATTTGTTTGTTTGTGAGTTTCTTTTCTCTCACAGGATGCAACATCTATACATCAGAGCGACAGTGCTGGTCTAACACCCATTCACCTTGCTACTGTAAGCGGGCTATCATCAATCATTGAGGAGTTGGTATCACTCGGTGCTGGTGTAAATCCTCGGTCACACGATGGCCAGACACCCTTACACTTTGCCATTAGACTATGTCGCTGTAAGAAAAGACAGGTTGAAGTGACGGCAGCTTTGAAGCAGGTTAAGTATTTCTTTTTGTTTAGTTTCTTCATTTTTAGTTTTTCTTTACAAAAACCTGTTAGTCTTTCTAATGGGTACATATATATATATATATATGCCCGTGTGTTTGTGTGTGTGTGTGTGTGTGTGTGTGTGTGGGTGTGTACGTATGAAGTCTTTACCCATTCAATGAACCGATTCTCTGAATATCTCACCGTTTTGGATATGGGAAGGACATGCAGGAGCTTGATTATGTATATATATTTATTCGTCGGTTTGTGTGCGTGTGTGTGTGAGTCTTTTCACTGGCTCAAAAGGTAATTTGTGTGCGTGTATGTCGTGCGTGTTCGTAGATGTGCGGGCGAAACCATCGAATGAAGATTGGACGAACACGTGCTAATCTTTATGGACATGTCAACGTATTATTATTATTATTATCATTATTATTATCATTACTATTATCATTAATATTATTACTATTATTATTATTATTATTATTATTATTACTATCATTATTATTATTACTAATATTATTATTATTAGTATTAGTATTATTATTACATATATTAGTGGCATTATAAAGATAAGTATTAGTAGTAATCCTATCAAATTCATCATCATCATCATCATTTCATGTTAGAAGTAGATAATGCCATGCGAAAAGATTGCTGCAGGTATACACTTAATGATACAAATTTATCTTTTCTGTGTTATCGAAAATGAAGAAAACGTGTAGGAGTGTAATAAAAACACTTAGTTTGGACATTCTCTATTTGTATGTAGGTTCGTTTCACTACACAGTTAACATTTTAGTGAACAAGTTGTTTAAAAGTTTAAACAACCTCGGATTAACGGGTGACCTGATCTGAGAGTTGTCTAAAATGTTAAGCATCTCGAGTTGTTTAAAGTTTAAACACTTAGTTGATCAACATTTTGAACAACTTGTTTATTAAAATCACAATTTAAACAACCGGTGTTGTTTTGAGACGGTTGTTTAAAAAGGAGCTGTTGTTCACTGGGGTTTGTTTACACCAACTGGGTTGTTTAAAGAAAGTTGTTTAAAAAAGAGCTGTTGTTCAGTGGGGGTTGTTTACAACAAAAGGGTTGTATAATGGGGTATAATTTGGGTTTGATACTCTAAATAAGTGCACCACTACTTCTGGGTCTCTATATAGGTATATGAAGACTATATGGTAGGGTAATTCTGCAATTTATGAATTAGCGCCAAAACAGTGTCCATTTTGCATGAGCGTGCATGCACGCATAAACTGCATGTATAGAGATGCATGAAATCTCTATAGCAAATAATTTAGCATACGTTATAACTGCGTGCGCGATCGGTGCCGCACTGCATGACGCGACGATTTTAAGTCTACCTTTATTCTGACATGTGCGTACAGATACTGACAATTTTAACTCTGAACTTACGCTTAAGTTAAAAACTTCAAATTGGTTAATAGAAAAGTGATTTCAATTTAAAGCCATTGAATTCCCAGTCACTTAGAAGCGCGTCGGTAGCTTGGTCGGCCATGATGTGAAATAAAGCTTTCAGCCAACGGGCACTTTACTGGCACGTGAAACTTGACGTCATATGTAAACAACACTGTCTAAAAGCTCTCGTATAGTAAATATAGCAGTCATTAAATTTTAAACAGCGAATGTTTAACAAAATTACTTTCGTTTTGAGCAACATTTTTACAATTTGTTCAACTGTTGTTTAAGATACTGTACAACTGTAAGTGAACATCATTTTTTTTAAGCAGCGTTTTTACTGTGTATAATCTAGTTCCTGCAGTTAAGAAATCATAAGTCCTTAACCTTTTCATGCATTAACGAAATAGATACAACAAGAGAGTGACGATGACTTATCCCCCGCGGAGGCTTTGATACAATTCCTTATAAATCAAGGATCCAAAGTCGACATCAAGGATAACGAAGGTTTTACCCCGGTACAGTATACAAGAGATGAGCGCGTTAGACAAATGGTATTACGGAGGTGAGAAAATTATAAAGATAAAATAACCAGGCTGCGTAAAATATGATTCTGCTTATTTTTGTAATCAAAAATAAATACATATAATCAAGGAAATACAATGTAAGAAATATGCCAACTTAATTTATGTACAAAGTTCCTTTAGTTATTGTACCCGGGCCAAGCTGATAGATTGATTGATTTTTAATGTGATTTGTCGATTGCCTATTTTATTTTGCTGGAAACATCAGTCCTCAAAGAGAATAATTGTTATTGTGTATCATGTGATGGTATTGAAGACCTAATATTCAACATAATGTTGATACAGCACTGTCATATAAAACAAGATATTCTATGACGTAAAACATGGATGCACGATGAGTAATACATTCCAATTTGATTGACTCGTAGTACCTCTTTTTTTCATTTTTTTTTGTTTTTTGGCAGCTTATCCGAAGATGGTGTTCATGAATTCCGCGGTATGTATATTATGTTGTTTTCAGTGACTTTACTTCTCCCTAAGATTTCAAACAATCCAATGTTTTCCTCTACTTGATTAACTTGTCCCTTTTTTGTATCGTATGAACAAAATGTAGATCTACCGATTGCAAGATCTACTGAGATTAATCGCATTATTGGCTGTGAAGGAGGAGTTCTACATTTAGACAGCTGTGACGTCACAATGTCGATTCCACCAATGACACTGCAAGCTGGCTCTTGTCACGATGTATCTATAGCCCTAGTTACTGATGATCCCCCACCTATCCGAGAGGGGGAGTTTCTTACAGGCCATGGCATTGGAATCACATTCCCTGCACAGTGGCGCTATTCCACATGTAAGCCTGTAACATTGACTATGCCGCATGCTGCAACCGTGGTGAAATCATCAGCTGTTCATACTGACATTATCTGGAAGCACACTGAATCAGCCTCAGGTTAGTCGTAATATGAGGATGCAAGGGAGTTATAAACACAACAGTTTTCAGGATTTGCCACGTTACATTCAAGTGACTCTCTTACTTGGCCCAGTGAGAGTGTTAAAGTTCTTACCTCTTGTTAAAATGTGTCGTAATTCTAAAGATTATTTTCATACATTCCACACTCACCTATTCATATATACTTTTCATGAAAAATAATGTCCATTTCTGTAATTTATCAATAACTTTAAATAACTCACGCGAACGATGTAAACGAAGCATTTAGCAACAAATTGAAGAATCGTTAAAGTCATCACATTAATTATGGTCATAAAAATTAAAGCAAACATATTTGTATTTGAATTGTTTTCGTGTCAATATGGAACTGTTTACAGCTCACCGTGATGATGGTTATACGCAATGTATCCTTAAGAAAAGGGACACCAAGTTCGTCATAGATGCCTCATCTGTAATTCAGGACAAGGTACAGCTTTGGATACCGATAAAGCTTCATGATCATGCTCTTGGTAAACGAATGGTGTGCACCCCTTTCCTTCCCATTGACATGGCACCGGGGGAAGACATCGCACTTCGGATTTACATACATGACGACATACCTTACATTGTTCAGGTAATTTATATATATATATATATATAAATGCTGCGTATACGGAGAACTGTTTTCACGTTTATCATAAGAAATATGTATTTTATCTATAACAGAGTGCCAAGTCTACCATTCAATTGAAGTCTTTTTTAAAAATAACTTTATAAAATAATTACATTTAAATATTCAACTTTTGAAGACGGGTCGGATCACATTTGTAAGATGCTGTATATTATTTTGATCGATGATATAATATCTGTAAAAAGAAAATATAACTTTGTATACTTCCGATGAAAGCTCATGGCAAAGCTGAAAATGATTACATATATCTTGTCTAAACTTTTTTTGGTAATCGGTATCTGAAAAAGCCTAACGTTTGACTTTATTGGTTCAAATTTCTCTATCACAAATTTCTTATCCCTTAAATTATTATCGGTGTTAAAAAAGAAATGTAAAATAAATACTGTTTTTCTTGTTCACGTCCAATTTATTTCATGTGTGGCATTTATTAACAATTATAATTGAAATCACCTTGTTTATGGTAAAAGAAAACATATTCCGTATCCCTTCAAAATTCTTTTGATTACATGTATGATGCATCATGAAAAAAATAAATATACAAAGCTAAAGAAAGACACACTTTTAATGTGAACCGTATTTCCGATTCATGCAATATTTTGGTTGAGAAACGGAGAAAGATACTATATACTTTAGAACTGTTAAACCTACCTTCATTAAATGCATTGTTTATCAAATTTGGCAGATCGTAAAAAAATAAAGTGATCATCATTATTACTATAATTTCAATCACTAAATTTATACGACCAACTGTCACTGTTTTGTGTCTGTTCTCAATATAAAACAGAAAATTCAGGAAGAAGAGGAAAATCTGCTATACCATCAAGTACATCCTGGGAGATGTTTTGGTCTTGAACCTGCGTCAAGTGATCTAGAGCTGGAATGCAATGGGGAAAGAAGGGTAATAATTATTCTTATTCTTGTTAGGTTTGAATGTCTGTGCATTCTATTCAAAATAAGATGTGCTTGATACATGGCATGAGATGAAAACGATTTTCTTCAGCAAATTGTAAACGGTCTGCTAATAATAGTATAATATACTAGTAGTAAAATATCATTCCCATGTCAACGTGATCTTGGTGTAATCCTTGACTGTCACTTGAATATGCAGCAGCATGTCAACAATACTTGCAAGAAAGCATCTTTGGCCCTCAGAAGAATAGGTCGTGTCCGTCATTATCTCAATAGCAGGACAACTGAGATATTGGTCCACGCCTTAATAACATCCCTGCTTGACAGCTGCAACTGCCTTCTCCTGGGAGCTTCAAAGAGAGACCTATGTAAGTTGCAGAGGATTCAAAACTCTGCAGCTCGCTTAGTGTCAAGAGTGAAGAGGTCTCAACACATAACACCTATCTTGAGAGATCTACACTGGTTGCCAATTTAGTTACGGATCCGCTACGAGGTCATTCTAATTGTCTTAAAAACTCCCAGATTCGCTCACACCGTACATCCCACCAAGGCGTTTGCGGTCATCTTTCCAACACCTCACCCTCAATCATGGAGCCACACAAACCTATGGTGACAGGGCATTTGCATGTGGTCAACCAAAACTTTGGAACGCTCTCCCAGTTTCGCTACGATCAATGACCAATGTTCAAGTTTTTAAGAGAGCGCTGAAAACTCACCTTTTTGGTGAATGCTTCGAGTAAAACGTACATTGTACATTGTAAAGCACTTTGAGAGGGCCTTCGGTCCTGAAATGTGCTATAAAAGATCGAAATATTATTATTATTATTATTATTATTATGATATAGATAGGATGTGCCTCTAATTTGGGTGTTGTGGCTGTCTGTAATATATTTGTATGTATACGTATATATATATATGCCTATATATATATAAATACGGTATGTATAACCCTATCGGGTATATTACTTGAAAATCATAAACATGCTAATCCTAAACCTAACCCTAAACCCTAAACCCTAACCCTAAAACTTGTATGTATAATTATTGTCCCCCTAATGGCAATGTCTACTTCATGACTCACTGTTTCACTCCCAATGCCCGTCTAATGACGCCTTAAATCCGTCCACAGGGTCTTTAAAGTTGTCCCAATGCTGTTGGGAGAAATAACAACTAAATATTGTAAATATCATATTTGATCAGATCATCTCTGCAAAAGATGTATTCAACCGGCAAAAGACGCTAGTTTCGATGCCCATCAAGACGGAAACCAATGCGAAAACTCAGATGATTAACATCTCGATTTCAGCAACAAGTACCAACCAACCAAAAACCAGCATGGCGTTCGTGGTTATACGTACTGGTTTGTTAACCTTCTTATTCCCCTCCTCCTTCTCCTCCTCCTCTTTCTTCTTATGCTTCCTCTTTATCTACTTTTTTATTATCTACTTTTACTCTTACCTCATCTAGTTCTAATTATTCTCCCATCCTTCTGTCTCTTTCTTTCCAAAAGATATGAACTGAATCATATATCGTGTAAATATGTTGCAATTTTATCATTTTCATCCATATTTTTCATCATGTTAATATACTAAGATATCCCGAGTTCTGAATTTGACGGAAACCTATACTTGAGAGATTTTAAAGTAGGAACAACGTGTAAATTGCACGATATCGGCAAGAACACATAATTAAATAGGTTCGTGTGTGTTATGTCATTTGCTTTAATTTCTTAACGCAATTATCATCCCCCAATTTTGCAGTACGTGGAATCAAAATTACTCACGTTCCAATGAGATAAGTGGTTTCACTAAACAATGTTATCATTTTTCACCAAGGATTCTCCGCCGACATACATTCAACCCTAAATGAGATGGTCACTGGATCTAATGCTGACCTTCGGTAAAATTACATTTGTACACGATGTATTAATCCTTGGTACTATTATATATTTATATAACCACTATGCTTTTTACATTGCGTGATATGCTCTAAAACATTGTTATTATTATGATTATGATTATTATTCAAATGTAACATTAACACAATGGAACAAATTATAATTTCGATTGAGTCAGGTTAAAAATATGAACTTCATTACACAAGATAATGTACCACTGTGTTTATGAAAGGGCTAATAGAGGAAAATCTGAAAGATATGAAAGTCTGACTAAGATTGAATGAAATACTATAATAGTTTTGTCGTCAAGGGGTACAACTTTTGCAGTGGATCAAGAACCAACACTTAGTTCATTTACAATGATTCAGACTTTTCATCTTTCATCTCAAGTTAGTTCATTGATGACTGACATATGATGTCACAAGGGGAATGAGATCTGGAGGTTTTTAGGGTGGAGCTTAGCAAGTTTGAAAAACAAATATTTAAAAAAAAAAATCAAAAAATCTATGAAACAAATTCAGAAGTTAACATATCAAAATATGAGATGTATGCAGGACTACACACCAACAGGAATACACTTGTATTTCGATGTCATGGGCCCTTTAAAGATTGTATCCCTTATCGGGTGATTAAATCGACCAATGATACCGAAATCCTCTGATCCGATCTGAATAGGCTACCTACCTGGGTTGACAGTTGAAATGATTAAGTGACACATGAAATCAAACATTGCGAAGGGCTCCAAATGTTCCTCGAATTTTAAGGATGAGGTGTATTAACGTTCGTTAACCGACTGACCGTACACAATGAACGGTACTTCTTTCAAGGAGGTAAACCAAAATCCTTCCTTCGGAGTTGACCAAAATGTATTGTTGTCGAAACAAGCAGAGAAGTATTTACTAATGCAACGCTTGGGATGAAGACTATCTGGCCTCTCACCAAGAATATTCAAACAGCTGCATTTTTTAAAGGCCTCATCTTGAACATGTTGAATGCGCATGTAGCGTAGCATGTGGGATTCTTATTTAAGCGAGGGCATCAACAAACCAGAGGGCGTTCAGAAGAGAGGGGCCAAGCTGGTCACTGACAAATAAATGCGGAATAGACATCCATGTATCACAGAGGGGCGTCGCTAGACCTTTTTCAGTGGGGGGTGTAGAGGCCAACGATTACCGACAAAACTAGCCACCAATTACCGACAAAAATAAATGTCCCAATATCTACAAATTTAACCAAAAACCGGGGCCGAAGGCTAAATTGTTTTTCCTATGGACTATCTATAGTACTTGCGTATACGCAAATGGTCATTTCCCTCGATGACATAAATATACGAATTATTTTGTCAACTTAGTCAGCATCATAGCTATATATTTTAATGCAGGCGCGGAGCTAGGACCGTTTCCTAGGAAAAGAAGACGATTTATTGTACCGTTCTCGACTATTTATCCTTGTCTGAATTAAGTTTCTCCCCCTCCCCCGCAAAGCGCGGAAGCTTTGACGTTTCATTAAATCATGAGAAAAAGCAGACGATTCGGTGTACCGTTTTCGACTTTTAATCCTTATCTGAATTTAGTTCTCACCCTCCCACGCGAAGCGCGAAAGTTTTGACGTTTCATTAAATTATTAGAGTAAGTAGACGATTCGTTGAACCATGCTCGACTCTTAATCCTTGTCTGAATTCATTTCACCCCTCCCGCGCGAAGCGCGGCAACTTTGACGTTTCATTAAATTATGAGAAAAAGCAGACGATTCGGTGTACTGTTCTCCACTCTAAATCCTTATCTGAATTCAGTTCTCCCCCTCCCGCGCGAAGCGCGGAAGTTTTGACGTTTCATTAAATTATTAGAGAAAGAAGACAATTCGTTGTACCGTTTTCGACTCTTAATTCTTGTCTGTAATCAGTTTCTCCCTTCCCGCGCGAAGCGCGAAAAGCTTAGACTTTTGATTTAATTATTATTGAAAGAAAACGATTCGTTGCACGGTTTGCGACTATTATAAAGCCCTATTCATCTTATTTCAGTTTCCCCCTCTCGCGCGAAACGCGGAAGCTTTGACGTTTCCTAAAATTATTAGTGGAAGCAGACGATTCGTTGTACCGTTCGCGGCTCTTAACCCTAATTTGTCTGAATTTAGTTTCCCTCCTCCCGCGCCAACCGCGACATTTTTACGTTTCATCACAACATAGAGAAAGGAAAACGATTCGTCGTACCGTTGTTGACTCTTAAACCTTGTTTGAATTTAGTTTCCCCGAAAATTTTAAACCTCTGATTTCTCTAGCTGATATTATAGGAAAATGAAACTTCGAGAAAATACAAGTATTGTAGTTGTAGTCACTCTCGAATTCGTCACAGCGGATAAAAAGTCACAGTTCGTAGGGAGAAAAAAATTGTCGGCCGACCGACTCACCGACTTCAAGCTTCTGCATTGATATAGTACACGAGGATCGAGCAAGAATACCGACACAGGCGACCCGACACAGCAACATATTTACCCGTGTCTTTCTTGCTCCCTCGACGAGACGACTCCACCCAACAACCCCCACTCTCTCTTTTACTCCCACTCCTCCCCTCTCAGGCTCTTACCTCCCCTCTCTCTCCTCTCGTTCATCCCCTGTTTCTTTTGTTTCCCTTTACCCTTTTTTTCTTCTTTTTTTCCTTTTCTTTCTTTTCTTTCTTATCCTTTCTTTCCTTTCCTCCCTGTTTTTCTTTTTTCCTTTTCTTTCTTCTCTTTTCTTTCTTTTCTTTCCTTTCTTTTTCTTTCTTTCTTTTCTTTTCCTTTTCCTTTTCTTTTTTCTTTTCTTTCCCTTTCCCTCTCTTTTTTCCCCTACCATTTTCTCTTTTTTCCCGACGGCAGCGCAATTTTACCGACAAAATCCTGACAGGTGGGGGGGGGGGGTGTCGCACCCCCACACCCCCCCCTTTGGCGACGCCCCTGGTATCACACCTGAAAGTGAACTTAATTGGCAACGACTTTAAAGACGACGACTTGTGGATAGGTACTCAATCTTCGGTAAAGCCATTAATGACTCAAAACTGGTCTTCATTACACAACCTCAGAATATTCTGAAGGGACACCACATTATCTCCTCCAACATGAGATTTTATTAATGATCACCTTTCCCCCCAAGAACCATTTGGGCGTCGAATTTACTTCCTCCCGAAGAGTAAATTTGCAAGTCAGAAAAAAACTTCCAGACCCTGGAATGCAATTAAAAGTAAAAATATGATCATTTATTTCTGGACCATGTTCATATAATTTCAAAATGATGTGATTAAAATGTATAAAATACAGACTCTCGAATGCTAACGTTCTTATTAGTCAACAATATCTGGCTTCTAGGATCATGACCAGGAACAGAACAGACTCAGAGTTAGATAACGGACGTAATATCTCTTTATTGAGATCTGGCTGGGATACTTGGTCATGACATTATGTAGCTTTACTATTCAATAAAATAACGGTATTATTTTTTTTTCACTCTTTCTTGTCCCATTCCATTTCTATTTGTAGCAACGCCGAAGACTTTCCGAGTGAAGAATTCATCACAAAGGAGATTAACACTGATAAGTACTACCATCTTGGTCTAGCATTGGGTTTGTCCTACCAGACACTTGACAACAACCAGTTCAGAAGCAGACAACATGAGGAGGCTGGGGTTTATACCCCAAATCAAAAGGCTGTTATCTTTATGATCCACGATTGGAAAAGCTTGCAACATTCCGTCTCCCTAGCAGACGATCATCTAAGAGAAGTGTGGAAATCCGTGAGCGATTCAGGAGATTCAGCCACGGTTATGAAACAACGACAAAGTGTGGGTAAGAACGCACTAAATATTGAAAAAACATTTATAATCATTCTTAAACAGACCTGGGGATATACAGAACTTATTTTTTTACAAAATGAGGAATCGTGCAATCCAGTTTATTCTTCGAATTCTATTGATCAATAAGGTCTTTATATTTCACCTTCTCTCTAAAGAAAAGCAACATGACACAAATGTGGAAGAAGTCTTTGAAGGAGAATTCCCTCCTAAAGAACCAAGGACCATCCCGACAGTAGGCCTACATGATTTGGAGGTGGAGGTAAGTGTTTCCAAGCGGTAGTTGTTTAATATTTCCAGAGATTTAGCATGTATTTCCAAACCAGGGTCCTGTTGCAATAAACTGACCAATGATGATACCGTTGCCATCAAAATTAACTACCATTTCAACATTACTGAACAGCCTATCAAATCAAGATTTCCATGAAAGTTATCATTAATAGCAACGTTACCATTAATGGTAGGCTTTAGCAACGGGTCCAATATTTGTTCCACTTCTTCCTGTGCTACACTCGTTACCAACGTGTATACCGTGCATCATAGCCCTGCTAAGCATGAAGACAACTTGTCGACGGTTACTGCATCTTAAAGCCTTAACCTTACAATAAAATGTTCTCTCGATTTAGCTAGGAGCCTTGATGATTCGTTGACAGAATATTTACATTTATACAAAATACTATTCACTGACTTTAAAGACTAAATTCCATGGAGCACTGTGATCTCTAAAACACTTAATTTCTTGTATTCTAAATTAGAAAAGAAAATAGATGCAATAGTTCAATTGTGTTAGTTATAATTGTCGTGGGCTGCGTCTTGGGCAGAGCAGTGCAGAGAAATCTCGTCGTCTTGTCATTGAAAAACTATTTCAGGATGAGGTAGACATCATCTGTCTTCAAGAAACTTGGTTAGCTAAGCAAGATTTAAATGGAATTAACTCTTTACATTCGTTATATCATGGTATTGGTGAATCTACTACAGATCTCAGAAATGGTCTGGTTCGGGGTCGTATACCTGGTGGGGTGGCTATACTCTGGCACACTAGATATGAACACTTAATTAGTGAAGTTAGATTAAATGTTGATTGGGCTGTAGGGATTGAATTTAAAATTGATGATAAAAAATTTGTCATCATTAATATATACACTCCTTATGAGTGTCCTGAAAATGAAAGTGATTATCTTGAGAAAATAGCATTTATTGCGGCTGTTATTTCTGAGCTGGACACCACCAGTGTTTATGTGGTAGGTGATTGGAACGCAGACATATCTGACAATAGTTCCTTATTTGGAAATCATTTGAGACAATATTGTTGTGATAATAATTTTGTGTTATCAAGTCTGCATTATTTACCTGCAGATAGTTACACTTATGTTAGTGAAGCATGGCATACCACGTCATGGTTGGATCATTGTATATGTACAGCAGATGCTAATGCCTCTATAGAGAAGATGGAAATTATGTATAGATTTGCTACAACTGATCATATTCCTATTAATTTATCAATTGATGTTGACAATTTGCCTGGGCAACGTGATTCAGGCATGGCTAACACTGTACATAAAGGCAGGCTAGATTGGACTAAGATTGATATAAATCGTAGGAATAATTATTGCCGTGATACTGATTTATTGCTTGAGGGAATTAATGTACATACACACGATGCTTTTCTATGTCGAGATTCCAATTGTGTGAACAATGACCATGTTAATTATGTATGCAATACATATGATGATATTGTGAAATGCTTATGTGATGCTAGTGAATCTCTATATCACTGTAAAAACAAGGTTCATAATACTAGGCCTGGCTGGAATGAGCATGTGTCAGAGCTCCACTCTGCTGCTCGTGATGCTCACCTACTCTGGGTTGAAGCTGGCAAAAACAGACAGGGACGGTTATTTGAGCTAAAAAAGAGGGCCAATGCACGATTCAAGTATGCTCTCCGTTTTATTAAGAATAATGAGAAAGTCATGCGGGCGGACTCTGTTGCTCGAAAATTGCAGGGTAAAAGTTATTATGAATTTTGGAAAGAAATTAAATGTGTTAATAATAGTAAAGCGCCTCTTCCCACTAATATTGAAGGTATCTCTGGTGATGAAAAAATAAGTGAATTGTAGTGTAGCCATTATAAGGATTTGTTTAATTGTGTACAGAGTACGGTGCAGGATGTTACTAATGTTGACTTTGATGTAAATATGGTTATCTCTCCTGAGGAGGTTAAAGAAGCTATTAGAAAATTAGATGACAATAAGTCATGTGGTCTTGATACTATAACAGCTGAACATTTAAAGTTTGCAAGTCCGAAACTCATGCCCTTGCTTGCAATGTGCATTTCTGGATTTTTGATTCAGGGTATCTTACCAGATAGTATGATTTCCGTTGTTTTGGTGCCGGTCATTAAAAATAAAGCTGGTCGCATTACTAGTAAGGACAACTATAGACCTATAGCATTGGCTAGTGTCCTGTCCAAAGTGCTGGAAAAGATATTGCTTGGTAGGTTAGAGATGTATATTCTTACTAAAGATAACCAGTTCGGTTTTAAAGCCAAACATGGCACTGACATGTGTATATTTGCTCTGAAGGAAATTATTGCAAGTTATCGTAGCAGAAATTCTTCCTTGTTTCTTTGTTTTCTTGATGCTTCCAAAGCTTTTGATCGGGTAAATCATGAAAAGCTGTTTACGAAAATGGCTGATAGAGGTATTCCTAAGTACCTGATTAGGATACTCGTGTTTTGGTATACCCATCAAACAATGATGGCTAGATGGGGAAGTAGTGTGTCTGAACCATTCCATGTCAGTAATGGAGTTAGACAGGGAGGTATTCTTTCTCCCTTTCTCTTTAACCTGTACATGGATGGTCTATCCGACAATTTGAATGCTTGTAAAAAAGGCTGTGTAGTTGGCAGTATAGTAGTCAATCATTTAATGTATGCAGATGACCTCGTTATTATTAGCCCGTCAACTGCTGGGTTGCAGAGTTTGCTCAAGATTTGTTCTGATTATGGATATGATAATGATGTCAAATATAATGCAAAAAAGAGTCATGTTATGATAATTAGATGTAAGGAACACCGTAGATTGGTATTCCCGGATTTTTATTTATGTGGAGCTAAACTCAATGTATGTACAGAGGTCATGTATCTTGGTCATTTTTTTTTACTGAGGACCTTTGTGATGATAAAGATATTAGCCGACAGTGTCGTAAATTATATGCTCAAGGTAATATGCTCGTTAGGAAATTTCATATGTGTTCTCCGGACGTGAAGGTGGCATTATTTAGGGCATACTGTACACCTTTGTACACTGCGCATCTGTGGAGTAATTTTAAGAAGAGCAGTTTGCACAGGCTTATTGTGGCCTATAATGATGCCATGAGAATGCTTCTTAGGGTACCTAGATACTTTAGTGCTAGTCAAATGTTTGCTGAGTTGAATGTTCCAGCCTGTTCGGCTGTATTACGAAATCTTATGTATAAGTTCATCCAGAGAGTGGATGTCTCTGAGAATAGTATTTTAAAGATGTTAGTGAACCCCTCGTATAGTAGTCTTAGGTACACATCGGGCCTCTGGAAATTTTGGCTTAAAAGCCTGCTTACACCTCGGAATTGATCATATTTTGCATGATGTTACCAAGGATTATCCAGCCTCTTATGGTTGCAGTATAGTCCATAGTCCTTGTTGCTTGTTATAATATCTAGTTATCTATTATTAGTATATTAATTGTTCTAGTTAGTGAGCAGAGATTGTTACAATTAAGTTACAACTTCACTTTGTTATACATATATTTATTTTAATATTGCAGTTACAGGTACAGCTTAGACTAGAGTTAGATTGCTATAGGCCTTCTGTTATCAATTTTTTACAGATACAGGTTAGGTCTACATGTTACAGTTACATTGTATATACGTAGTATAGTTTTTAGTTTGTTATATTCTTTAGTATTTGTACGATTTGTTGTTATTATACATGTTCATACTCCGCTATTATCCCTATCTATATGTAACATATGTTTTATGGACCACTGCCTTGTGCAGCTGAGTCTGAAATAAAGTTCTGAATTGAATTGAATTGAACTTACTCTAATACGGTAAAATTTGTTTTTGAGACCGATACAAAATAAAATGTCAATGAAAACTAATATAACTACATGTATGTGATCCAATATTAGTATGAGTCAAATACGGCTACAGCCCTTTAGAACGCGAGTCCATTGGGCCGACTACAAAATATGTCGATTTCATGAAGCTTAGGCTTTTCTAAGGTTTTTGTGTTTTCGGTCTCATAGGATGTTGGTTTAATATGAACTGATTACGATAAGTCAAAAGTAGATTTTCTAGATCTTATTGATCTCCCCCAAAGAAATGTAATCTTGCTCTTTAATGAGTAAATCCAAAACGTAATAAGAAATGAGATCTCGGTTACTGACGGTAATCTACTATTAACCTATTTCGCTTAAACTGACACGAAGATGTGGATCTGGGTATATACACTGTACAAATAGTGCATGAAGTCGATGCTATAATAAGCAACATGTATACTCTTTAAATCACTTCGACACACATAATCTGTCCAAAATAACATGGAAATTGTCTGTTTATAGTTTATTGTGGGGGGGGGGGGGGACAGCAACGAGAGCGTCATTTACTGTACTATAAATCCTCATTTCAGCCCGTCGATAAAATGGCTCTAGCTCCTCCGGGCTATCACCCAAAGCGAGTTCAAATGGCAGACGTGGAACAAATATTTGATGGATAATCACTCTGATGTCACAGAAATTCCAAACAACCTCCCCCTATCTCTCTTCCCCCTCTCTCTCTCTCTCTCTCTCTCCGTTTTTCTCCCTTTTCCTCACACAAAAAAAAAATCGCTCTGACTTTTGGAAGACTTTAGCGAAACAATGTGAAGTACTTTTGACGAATAAAACTGCCAGGATTTTTCCCATAGAGATGTAAATATCATTGTCTTTTGTATCAATTTGTATTCGTTTTGCTGTAATCCAGTTGAATATGCCTTTTTGGCAACTGGCGATGAATTTGTTTTCCCCTCCAAAGATTCCAGAAGCAAGGGGGCGCTGGGAAGAGAGGCTTCATCATAAGCGAACAAACATTCGTAGTGTCCGAAGCGACTCCTTAAGCAGGTATAAAAATGACTTTGAATTGCATTTCAATAGGTATTATTAATTTCTAGTGTGTATCAGGTAGATAATAACTAAAATGGCGTTATATCCTTTTGCCGAAGGATAGTGTTTTTACCTCACATAATTAATAGATTAAACGCAATTTGAGGGGAAATTATTACAGATCCAGGATGGATGTGTAATCAGGATTTGGCGTTAATTGTGATAGTTGTGATAAACTCCCTCTCTCTACGATACGATATTAAAAACCAAATACGTTCAGACAAGAAGTCATGAGTAATTATGATTGCAGGGCCTTCGGAAGGACAGCATTGTGGTAGTTGAGGCTCCCATTGGGATACAAACGTTTTAATCATAATCAATTCTATTATTATTATCAAATTTGCTATTATTAGGAGTAGTATTCTTTGTGATGTTCTCATTTTTATTTTCATCGTACAGTTTCAGCACTGTGCTAGAGGAGGAGGAGGGTCGCTTTCCGCAACATTGTAAGTTGCCCTGTCTTGTACTAAATTTCTTGTAATATTTGAATAACGGGTGCAATATGCCTTATTCGTTTATTAATACTTAAGTCATTATTAGCAAATGAATAGCACGATGTGAGCATGCTTATTTGATTATTACAAGAAATAGTGCTGGTCAAATGTAGTTTTTGAGTTAATTAGAAGGTTCTTAATCAATAGATCAGTATGTAAATATGTCTGTTTATAATAATGCTTATTTGTATAAAGTGACCGTCTCAATTTCTAGAAACATACGTAACAGAGTTGAATTTATTTCAATTGAATCGATTATTTTCCACACGTCCATACAAATTAAAAAAAAATCAATATACATGATATACATAATAACTATTCAACAAATTAATGATATAATAACAACTTGGAAGAAATAAATCAACAAGAAGAAAAGCAGAAATAGTGAATAAAATTTATCTACAAACAAATTAATGTCAATGTGGGGGGTTACAAAAAGTGATAAATTTATAACTTAACCCAATTCATTATTGGAAGAGAAGACAAAACAAAGCAAATTTATATATGATTATTACATTTAAATTGAGGTATATCAATTAACGGAGGTATTACACATTGTGTAGAATGTACTTTTGAGTTTGGATTTGAATATATTCAGGGATCTATGATTTTTTATATTTTTAAGTAAATTATTCCAGAATATAACGCCATTTTTAGATAGTGATTTCCCCATATAATACACTAATTAGATTTCCCTCTGGTATTATAATTGTGAATGTCAGAATTTGTTATGAACAATGAGTGAAAGCTAAATGGTAATAATTTTGTATAATATAAATACGTAAGATAAACCAGGAATATAATCGTATAGTTCTTACATTGGCAAAATATTGAACTTTTTAAATAGAGGGGCAGTATGTGTTCTGAAATCAGAATAAGATATCATACTAATTAGTCTTCTCTGTAAGATAATGATTCTGTTATTAATGAAAATATACTGGAAGATCCCAAAGCTATGAGTCCATGATTAAAATATGGTAATATTAAGATATTATACAAGATTAACAATATATTTGGGGTTACAAATTCACATAGCTTATTCAATTTACCAATGTTTTTAGAAATATGGGAATTTATCTTATTGACTTAGCTTTTCCATTTATAATCATATATGTATTCTAAGAAATTTAACAGTTTCTGCTCTCTGTACCTCAGTTTTATAAATGAATAATTTACAAGATTTTTTGTGTCAGGCATTATTTCTACTGATAATCATAAAAGTCAATTTTCTGAATATTAACAGCTAAATTATTAACAGAGAATCACTTCTGGACTTCAATTAATTCAATGTTTATGTTGCAATGCAACTTACCTAAATCTGTTTAGTAATAAATATATTTTTATTATCGGCAAAATGTTCGAACAAAGATGGAGATCATTAATACATATTTTAAAAGAGATCTCTGAGGCACTCCACTGAACACTGTTTAAATTTAGATTTTCAAGAATCAACACTGCTTTCGATTGCTTATATAACTACTCAATACATTTAGTAAAATACCGCGTATTCCGTAAAAAAGATAACTTACTAAGTATAATATCATGGTTGATACAACCAAGTGCTTTTTTAAGGTCGATAAATACTCCAATATTTATTTGATTATTTTCATATGCATTTATTATATCAGTTGATGAACCTATCAAGGCATTTTATTTGCAATGTTTTTCTCTAAATCCATTTTTAGAAAATACAGAATACGGTTATAGTCAAAGGAGATAATCAACCTCCTATAAACATAACACGTTTCTCGAGGATTTTTGTGTTTTTAATATATTTTTCATATTATCTATTATTCATACGGTACGTTCGTTTAAACGGACTTGGTAACATTGTTCAGAGGAGAGAAAATGGTGCTAAGGTAGTCATTTCAATGTTAGATGTACAATTACAGATAATCTGAAAGTTTGAGTGAAAACAAACCTTTATTAATGATATAAATTGAGAAAAACTGATCTGATCGATTCCTGAGTTTTCCCAACTATATAATTACAAAATAATTACAATATAATTACATTGTAGATGGGTGTAAATCGTCACAAAGCAACAAATTGGCTCTCTATACCATTCGAGACATTTAAGTGTTGAAAGAAATTTTAATGCCTGTCTTATGTTTTATTTTCGTGGAAAAAACGGTTGGGAAAACTTACTGTTAGAGGGTGTCGCACAGTGACAATCTTCAACAGTGTGACCGAGTCACTTTAAGTATATCATTTAACCATACATTCTTCTTTGTACGATTTTTAACTCTTTTACAGGAAAAAAATTATCGTATATTTAAAGAATAATATTCATGAAACCATCATTTAAAAGTTTAGGGTCGCTGTTATTATCATATATCATACAAGAAAAGTCGATTCCAGATAGGTTTTGTAAAAAACTCAATAATACCGTCTTTAGTGATTTTTCTTTAGGGAATGTTGTAATGAATAATCGAAAACAGACAAGATTGGATAATGATCTGAGACATCACAAATTATAGAGCCATAAAGTAGATCACATGAAATATTTACACAAAGATTATAAATTAAAGTTGCCGTTTTTCGTCTAATTTTAGTCGGTAGACTAATACAAGTTAGACAAGAAAATGTAGACATTATTTCATGAAAGTAATCTATATAATTCAAATGATTAGCTTTTTTAATGACAATATTGTAATCGTCCAAAAATAAACATTGTTTGTGTTCTTCATTAATTGTTTTAAAGATATTTGTAAGAACAATAATAAAGTAAATAATACACTGTTGGTCATAATGGTGGAATAATTATTTTTACACCAATTTATTGAATGATTTTGACAATGATTTATTCCTAATAGATCTAGATAATAGTATACATTCTCAGATTTTATTGAATGACAATTATTGGGGAGTGTTTGTTTTGCGTGACTGCTAAAGCATGTGTGAGCTACTATGCTAAAAAATTAGGGGACCTACGTCATTAAGTCATAACTGACAGTAATGGGGATCAATGCCTCATAAAAGGGCATTAATAAAGCACATCGACACGGTTTGATCCTGGGGGCTCACAGTAACGAGGCCATTGCTTAGCCAATAATTCATGACTGTACGCAGCAGGCGCTAGGGTACGTCGACGCCCCCACAAAAACAAAAAAACAAAGAAAATGGAATAATTTGTCAATAATTCATTGCATTTTCCCCCAGTCCCCAACAGGAAATATTCCTCTGTAGGGCCATGCATTATGGTTCAAGGCATGCCCACATAGAAGATTTTTTATGTTGGGGGTCGGGGCAAAATGCAATGAATTATTGAAACAATTATTGTATTTTCATTGTTTTTTTTTCTTTTGTGGGGGCGTCGACGCACCATAGCGCCCGCTGCGTACAATCATGATTTATTGGCTAAGCAATGGTCTCGTTACTGTGAGCCCCAAGGATAAAAAACCGTGTCGATGCGCTATATTAGTGCTCTTTTATGAGGTATTATTCCCCATTACTGTCAGTTATGACTTAAGAACGTAGGTCCCCTAGTTGATTAGCATTGTAGCACACACATGCTTTCACAGTCACGCAAAACAAACACTCCCCAATTGTCATTCAATAAAATCTGAGAATGTATACTAGTATCTAGATCTATTAGGAATAAATCATTGTCAAAATCATTCAATAAATTGGGGGTAAAAATAATTATTCCACCATTATGACCAACAGTGTATAATTTTCAGGGGGCCTATAATTTTGATTAAGATGTCATCTGTTTGTAAAATCTAAATTATTTGTTATGCCAAATCTAGTTCCACCACGTTGTTCTCTATTACGACCAAAACTAACGTATCTCTAATCATTACAAATATTTCTGGAGACATGTTATTTCTTATTCAGGTTATTCCACTTTTTCAAACTTCTACAATTTAGGTGGATAACAGAAAATTGTGGTAAGAAAATAAAGCAAACTTGTCGCTGAGCTCTTCAAGAGTTAAGTGACATTAGTCATTCATCATTATGAAGGAAAAAAAATACAATATTGCAAGAAGAGTACGACACTTTTCATTATAATCTTTTTGTATAAAGTAGGGTACATATTCCATATCACAACCAGTTTCATTAAGATGAAATAAAAATACGTTAGTTTAGTAAAAGAATAAAAGAAAGAGGTACAAACACAAGAGCAAAAATATATGTAAAAAATTATATCTTAAAGGGACCCAAACACAAATATAACAACAGCTAAAGTCCATGTAAGTTAAATCACATACATGAATGAAACGTGAGAATACCAGGAACCATAAGTTAGGGTAATTCAGGTTATGTATCATAGTTCATTGTATATTATAATTTGTAATGTGTAAAGTAAGAGTTATCTTCTCATCTAGATTTGGGCAAGTTCTTCAAGCCACTTTCATTCGAGATGAATTTCGACAATTTTTCCCGATTTGATGCTTCGATGAGTGCAATGACTTTACCGCCTGTTGCCCATCTCTGTTCTTCAGCTTCACAAGTGAGAATAGACGAGCATCGTCATGATGAAGGTATGCATTCCCTTTAGCTCTTATATTTTTTGTTTCGGCAAGTAAGAAATTGATCAGTAATTGAATCATATACATGTTCGTTTTTTATACAATAAAAACGACGATAAAACAAATAATACTGTATTGTAAAACATTGTGTTCTACTCAGTATTGTTTATTCGTATTGTAACATCTCCAATAATACTAGTAGTGTACCAACAATTATTTACAGAAGTAGAGCATTCCAAGCAAGCAGTTTTGGAATGGATGAAATCTGGAGAAGGAGTAAAGACGGCGGATGTCAGACCACACGAGTACTCTACACAACCTACAGATGAGGAGGGACAGATAATAGAGTCCGCTCACCATATGTCTCCACCGAGCGCCCAACAGGATGAAATTCCAATTGAAAATCTTGAAAGCAGGGAAGATTTGAGTGACGGTACTGTCATGATTAGGCTTGAGAAGCATGGTATTGAAGTAAGAATCCCACCAAACGAAGCTTAAGGCCCGGTCACACAGGGAGGACGCATGGGGAACGCACGGCCAGCGCATTGGAAATTTGCAATTTGGGCCAGTGCGTTGTTGTTCGCTAGGCGTGCGTCATCACTCGTTACTCGTTCGTCGAGCGCGCTGGACCAACGCTGGACCAGCGCTATGCATGCGTCGTCATTCGCTGTGTGCGTCGGGATTTTTTGAGCATGCTCAAAAACGTGCGCCGAGCTCGACGCATGAATATACACGCCGAAGGCACGCCAGACATGCGTGGAGCGCGCTAGACCAGCGCCAGACATGCGCGGAGCACACGCTGTGTATACGTTCTGAGTTCGCCGGCCGACGTCTAGCGAATGCCTAGCGCACACCTAGCGCACACCTAGCGCGTTTCAAACGCATGTCCAGCGAACGTGAGCTTGCTGAACGCGTGCTGAACGTGTCTCTAGCGCACCCGACTTCCTTCCTGCGTGTCCCTAGCGTATACCTGGCGTGTACTGAGCGAGTATCCAAAGGGAATTTAAACGGGTTCCGCCCCACCTATTACGTAAATATTCTAAAAAAGAATGAAACGCCGATAATACCAAACAAACAACAACAACCTCGTCATCACTTCTCCACAGACCCTCATGTGTGATGACAGAGGTTCTTACTGATCTTGTCTAGAAGAAACACATCAGAAGATGGATGGTCACGACAGGCTACGCCTACAATACGAAATTGCGGTTCTCCAACATCAGCAGAACCTCATGGAGCTGGCAATTCACCAAGTCCATGTCATCAGGAGAAGGATAAAGAGAAGAAATCAACGGAGATTCTGGGTTCGACCGTGGATCGGTAGGCGACGACAGTTCGGCCTGTATGATCAGCTTCTTATGGAACTCCGTAACGAAGACCAGGCAGCCTTCAAGAATTTCATGCGGGTGCCCCAAGAGATGTTCGACGAACTGCTAACCAGAGTGGGCCCGAGAATCACCAAGCAGAAAACAAACTACAGAGATGCCCTTGATCCGGGCCTGAAGCTTGCCCTCACTCTTCGGCATCTTGCCTCTGGAACCAAGTATCGTTCAATGTCCTATGGGTGGAGAGTGCCTCACAACACTATATCCCTTCTCATCCCAGAAGTGTGCCAAGCCATCATCAAAGAGTACAGGGATGAGATGATGAAGTGTCCCACCACCCCTGAGGAATGGCGTGCCATATCTGACAAGTTCATGGAGAAGTGGAACTTCCCTCATACCTGTGGTGCACTTGATGGAAAGCACGTCAACTGCAAGTGTCCTTCCAACAGTGGTTCCTTATACTACAACTATAAAGGGTTTTACTCCGTTGTCCTCATGGCTCTCGTTGATGCTGATTACCGATTCATCTGGGCGGACATCGGTGGTATGGGATCAGCATCAGACGCTCAGATCTACAATGCCTCTGAGCTGAAGGCATGCGTTGAAGGTGGCAGTCTAGGCTTCCCTGATCCCGATCCTCTTCCTAACGATAACCAGGATATGTCCTACTTTTTCGTTGGCGATGATGCCTTCGCTCTACGACCCACCATGATGAAGCCGTACAGCCTCCGGGGTTTGACGAGACCGGAGCGCATCTACAACTACCGGCTTTCCCGAGCCAGGAGGGTCGTCGAAAATGCCTTCGGCATCCTGGCCAACCGATTCCAAGTTCTCCTGAGCACGATGCAGCAGCAGCCCGAGACCGTCAAGCTCATTGTCACAGCATGCATGATCCTCCACAATCTTATGAGGACTCGGTATCCAGGAATGCAAAACCAGCAGCTTGACCGTGCCGAGAACCTGGGTCGCGACTTCGTCCCAGGAGCGTGGAGATCTGGCTTTGACATGCAGGACACCCAAGTAGTCTCTGGCAACAACACCTCCAGCAAGGAAGGAAAAAAGCAGAGGAACCTCATCAAGCATTGGGCCAACTCCGAAGCCGGCTCAGTTCCATGGCAAGACAGGATGATCTAGACCACCCCACCTCCGCAGTTCGGAAGGATATGGAAGGATACAGAGACTGATTGAATGATATATTTTTAATAAATAAAGTATATCTAAATGTCCTTTGAAAATTAACTACTAGTACTGTGTTGAATTCATTTAGAGGGATAGTTGAGTTTGGGTATAGAGGGCACTGCACGAAACGAGTCAAAAACAAAATGTTGCAAAATCATACAATTTGATCAGGCGGGTACGCAGGGGGGGGTGGAGGTTAACCCCCCCCCCCCCCCCTTTGGTAATTTTTTTATATTTTGTTATAAAAATAAAAACAAAAATAATAATACAAAAAATTATACCAATGGCTGACCTAAAAAAGTTGACCTTACACCCCCCCCCCCCCCAACGGAGCAAAATGTCAAATTTTCAAATTTCGAGACCAAAAAAAAAATGTCCTCTTCCCCCCCCCCCCCCCCCCCCCCCCTCCCGCTTAATCAGCGGATGGCTGAGTCGTTGCGAAATTTTCGGCCCGATTTAAAAATGTTAACCCCCCCCCCCCCCTTGAAAAAATCCTGCGTACGCGCCTGAATTTGATTATGTTTTTATCTCAACAACATGAATAGTAATGTCTCCTTTTATTTGGAGGGTCGATATAATGTTTTAAGTCGAGGCGGTCATGTGTGATTGTCATTGGTTCATTCTCCTTTTTTTTAATGAATATTTGCAACATTTCGATTTTGACTTGGCCCCTTATTAAGGTATTATGCACAATCCATTATGACACAATCATTACAAATAGGGCTTCAACACGCTTTTCGGTGATAACAAATTCATGTGGGGTAATATTGAAGATTGAAGAGAGATATGAACGCGAGATAAAGAGAGAGATGAAAGCAGAAAAATTGTGAGAGGTTTATAGACATTTGTCTTCATCATTATTTGCATATACAATACTCTCACCCCTCTCTCTCTCCCTCTCTTTCTCTCTCTCTCTCTTTCTATTTCCATTTCTCTCTCTATCCTTCTCTCTCCCTCTTCTTCTTTCTTTTTCTTTCTATCTCTCTCTCTCTCTCTCTCTCCACTCCATAACATGTTAAATAAGCAAACACAAACACATTGTTTTAAAGTTCAAACAAAATATTTATTAAATAGCCAACACGATCTTTTTCTAAAAACTTGTTTACATTTTTCTTTATAACTAAGTAGAATGGGCAAATAAAAACTTATTGATTAAAATTAATGTTAACTCTTGATAACAAACAATAACCAATACTTTCTTTTATTTACAACTTGTTTTACAACTTAACAGTCAATAAACATGTAAAAATAGGCAGAAAAAACTCAATGTTTAAGAGTTAAAACAAAATTATCCTTCTATATCATTTGAGCTACTACCACGAGTCCCTATCTCCCTACTGCTTCTCACCAGCACTAGATAACGTGGAAGTATCCACATCCATGGGGGTCACCTGGCCTGAGGTATGGGATGTCTCCAGCAGCGCAGATAACCCGGAGATGTGTGAGATATCTTCTAGGTCACGGTCACAGCTTGTGGAGACTTGGTGAGAACCCTTCTTGGAGTGGTGGTGCTGTTGCTGCTGATAGAACGGGTACTGATGTCGTTGCTGGGGGTATTGGTGTCGCTGAAGGGGGTGCTGCTGTTGCTGGGCGAACTGCGGTGGAACAGGAGGAGGAGGTGCCATCTGGTTGGTCATGCCGGATTGGTACCTATCCATGTACCCGCAATCCTGTGACTGCCATGTCGACCCGGGTGGTGGCCTGGTGTTCTTCCACAGCTCGGGGGCCGGCTGCCACCCCTCGACGGCCTTGGGAGAGGACGAGAAGGTTGGAGCACATCTGGGTTGGGAGGATCCTGCTCGTGAGAAGGATGACGGCGTGACTGATGGAGGCTCTTCCTCATCGCTATCCTCCATAGCAACTTCAAGAATTCGGCTGATGGCCGTGCGCGCCTTCTTGAATTTTTTTCTTGGCAAGTTGACTAGAACCCCCTTGACGTAGGTCCCAAAGACTTCCTCCGGTGTCTGTGGCCGCATTGCCTGCTGTAGCTGGAGCATCTGCTGGCCAGACTCCTGCAGCCGCTTCTGTAATGTGGCCATGAGTGCGTCCTCCGATGATTTTGCACCCTTCCTTTTTTTGCCGACTTGCTGAGCCTTCCGACAACCTTCCTCCTCCTCTTCTTCTGCCTCTGCACCGATCATGGCGCACTCAGCCTCAGCAGCCGAGAGATCGCCACTGTGTGCATGGATCGTATCCTGAACCTGCAAGTACAAAATAATACAGATCATAAGTAAAATGAATGCAAAAATGCTAATGCAAAATTGACTACAAATTTATGTTGAGATACATTGGACCTATAATAGATTACTTTTGATATATTGAACCATCTGATAGTAATGATCTGCATTTACATAAAAAGTATCAAACGTCTAACAGTATGTAGCTGTACTTACACTGCTAACTGGCTCAGGTGTGTGATAAGTTATCTTTTTGAGGAAGTGCATCTTCTCCAAGGTCCAGAGCTCCCTCTCTGTGAATGTCCGTTGCCCGGACCCGGACTTGGGCAGCTTTTCCAGGCGTGCGAAGTTGTCTCTCATGCCCTTGAACCACCCTTGCAGATGAGAGACTTCCTTGGACATGGTTTCTGCCTGCTTCTGCCATGCAGCGTTCTTCATGTCTGGTCTTCTGTAATGCGTCACCTTCTTGTTCCATATCATTTCGTTCTCTTCCAAGAAGGCGACCATTAATTCTTCCTCGTCATCGGACAGCTTGTTGGCCTTTTTGTCCTTCTTGCTCTTGACAGATGAAGCCTGCGATGCCAGCGATGCTTGGCTGTCTACTGACCCAGCGCGTGAGTGAGTAGGGGAGTACTGAGGGGATGCGGATGGAGAGTGTGTAGCATCCTCAGCATCCTCGACGACAACAGCAGGGTCCAGGCTTGGCAGCTCAGCAGGGTCGAGGCCGGGCAGCTGAGCAGGGTCCAGGCTGGGCAGCTGAGCGGGTTCAAGGCTGGGTAGCTGAGCAGGGTCAAGGCTGGGTACCTCTTTGACTCTACATCTGCCCCTTCCTCCACGACCCCTGCCTCTACGACCGCGGCCACCAGCAACAGGAGAAGGCGTCTTCTTCTTGAGGTTCGTACACGTTGGGTTCATCCTCTTGGGAGGCATTTTGAAGAGCTAAGTTGAGTTGTACACTCGTCGCTGTGCTACTTTGATATGACTACAAACGCAAGCGAGACGAGCTGCCACTTTCAATATGCACAGTTACGTGACCTCTAGGAAGAACAAAGCCATTTTAATAAAGGTTCTGAATAGAGCATCCCAGCCGTTTTTAATCCTTGATTTTGTATTATAGCAATTTCAATTGCTTTTGTAACCCCTGACCAGCAGATTGTATCCTTCTCTCTCCCCTCTCCACCTTCCTAAAGCTGTTTGTGTGTTTGATGAAATATCTATGTATTATTTGATTGTTATATTCATTGTATGTTTTACGATTGATCAAATAAATAATAATAATACTAATAATGATATTTGTAAATGTTATTCTTGTATGTATTTGAATGTGGAAGTTTTTAACATGTGCGCTCTGGATACGGCCTGTATGCGCCCTGTATGCGCCCTGTGTGCGCCCTGTATGCGTCCAGCGCGCTAGCAACACGCTGTGCATTCGTGGAAGTTTTTAACATGTGCGCTCTGGATACGGCCTGTATGCGCCCTGTATGCGCCCTGTGTGCGCCCTGTATGCGTCCAGCGCGCTAGCAACACGCTATGCATTTGGTGTCAGCTCGCTGTAGCTTCGACAAAAGTTGGGCGCACGACAACGCACTGGCCAAAATTGCAAATTTCCCATGCGCTGGCCGTGCGTTCCCCATGCGTCCTCCCTGTGTGACCGGGCCTTTACAGAGCAAAGGACGTCATCGTCGAACCAATCCATGACATTCCACCTGAGTTGGTGCTGAAGGAAACGGAAGCCATCATTTCCGTCGGCTTGAGGATGTCGCCCTCCGATGCAACCTTTGACATTCCAGTGACAGTAACGATGCCCCATTGTGGTATATTCACAAAGCCAGAGACTGCGAAAGTCGTCACTTATTATCGCAAGAGTGGTAAAGTCTTCTCATCCTCTGTCCCATTTACATTGCTTTTCATATAAAAGTCATAGATCTAATCATGGAAGATAATTACACAGGTAATAAACGTACATTATAATTGTTCTTTTTACACTCTAACACATAAAGTTATATTGTTTTGTTTTTGGCAAAAGAGTTAGAAATTCCGTTAATGATCACTGATTAGAGGTTAATATACACGGACGTATTTAGTGATTATAAGTATTATAATACCTCTTCGTGAACTTACATGTTTTGACATGCAAGTATATGATTGTATCAAATGATAGTTGTGACAAAGGTTTCGGTTAAACATGTACTATACATCTTTGTTATTACTTGCATAAAAAGCTTCGGAAAGTTTTACGGCTCTTCTTTCTACCGGCGGGAGCCCGCAATGTGTTGTTAGGCATCGCGACCTAGATATCTACATGAACCACTTCTCCGAAATTTGGATAGTAGCTATCATCAGAAGGACATTCATTGGAAAACGTGTTATTTGTACACCATATATTCCAGTGTCAACTCCGAAGAATGATGAACACGTGTTGTTTGTCCACGTAAGAGATGAAAACATTGGAAAAGGAGAGGTTAGTGTTTTTTCTCGTCTTTCCTTCTTCTTGTTCTTCTCTTTTTCTGTTGATGCTCTTTATCGTCATCTTCTTTATTTACATTTATAGTACCAATATAATATTCAGGTACGATCGTCAACATTTATCAAGTTTAAGTTTTAACGGATTACATAGATGTGGCGTGATATAGGGGTCCATTCCCTTGACTCTCAATACTAGTGTTTTGTGGGTTCGAATCCCAGCCACGTACTGATGTCCATTGGCAAGACATTAATCCACATTTTCCACGCTGCACCCAGGTGTAAATGGGAACCTAGGATTTCTAAGGCAATGCTCATTGAAGGGCCCGCATTAATATAAGCATTACTAAATACTGATGTGCTTACCTTGGCTGAAGATGAACAAATTATCATTATCCTGATCTTTTGAATTTAAAATTTCGTTAGATCTAAGTTATATATTTCCATGTGTTTATACCCTTTCCGTCTTTCTTGTTTTCTTTCTTCTCGCTATATCTCTTCCTCTATAACTTACAATTTATACTGTAATGAGTGGGAATGCATTTGAACTTGAACCTGAACTATCGATTGTTTGTGTTACCTTACATCAATATTGTATAGGTGCAGCCTGGATACATGGCTCCGATCACCGGAGAGCAGTTCTTAGTGAGGTGGCGTTCTGGAGCGTTGAAGATTACTTGCCCAGAGAGCACTATGAAAGACAAGGCCATGGTAACAATCAAACAATCAATTTCAATCAACCTGCTCAAAGTGTTCTTATATTCAGTTGATGAGCTGGAAAATGCCTCCTCCGCATTTAGGCATACATGAATCTAATAAGTTTTGTTTAAATATAAAATTGGATGATGCTTTTTGTGCAAAATTAATTGAGCATCTTATTAATTGACCAACAAAATGTATCAAATAATTTTGCAATTTGAGAGTCGCGCAATTTATGATTGGTTAATTTCTGTTTGGCTAGTTCAGTTGACGAACCACTTTAGTTTTAATTTTTTAAACATAAAATACAATGGGCAAAATGGTGCCTACTTGGGGTACTTTTTGTTTAAGAATGGAAAGTTCAATGTATTGGACAAGATCTACAATACAGTGCGTCCCAGAAAAAACGAAACCGAGAAGTATCTATGTTTTTATCATAACTTAATCACAACTATAATTAATAAATGACACATATTTGGAAAGCTTAGATCCTCTTCTTTCATTTTTTGCCCTGTCATATGATACCTCAATCAGGAAAAATGAGCAAGGAAAAAGTTCTGTTTGTTCAAAGAGAATCTTGCATTTCCATAATTCGATTTAAAAAGTTCGTTTTCACTGGCTGCCTGCCGTATGCAAAAAGCAGAATTGACAAAAGACTTAACTTCGTTTCGTTGACAATCAGCCATGCATGAAGTCTTTTGTCTATGTATGATTGTCAACGAAACGGAGTTAAGTCTTTTGTCAATTCCGTTTGTTGCAACGGCAGGCAGCCAGTGAAAAAGAATTCGTTTAATCAAATTATGGAAATGCAAGCATCACTTTGAACAAACAGAAGTTTGTTATTCCTTACTCATCTTTCCTGATTGAGGTGTCATACGAAAGGGCTGAAAATGAACTTTTAAGAATTGTGATTTTCTTTTTGAAATTCAGATACCGCCCGCCAAATGACTTTTTGATTTCCTTCCTTCAAATTGCTTTTAATCACTCATGCGTGATAAATGCATATGAATAGCATCAAATGAAAGAGGAAGATCTAAGCTTTCCAAATATGTGTCATTTATTAATTATAGTTGTGATTAAGTTACGATAAAACATTGATACTTCTTGGTTTCATTTTTTCTGGGACGCACTGTAAAGTTAATATATTCAATGGCTTTCGGACCGTTTATCCTGTACCCTTATTTTTGAGGAGGGATCTTACAACAGTTCAAATTTACTTTCCGAGGTAGCTAGGATATAGATAAAGATAGTCGGCATGTGGGTCATTCAAATACTTCAAATACAATCGTTATCCATTAGGATGTCAGTATTTTTCTCTTTTGATAAGGATGGACCAATTGTAGTGAACAAGTAATGACAAATTTAACGGTTATGTAACGGTGTTCGCAATATGATCTGAAGACAGAATTATCTTTTTTGTTGTGAACTAATAAATTGTTTTTCACGTGCCATTCATATTGTATTTATTGAGTAAAACTTTCTTATGTGAATATTGCGAATTTGCTGATGATGTATCTGTTAGTAAATTAAGATTTCTATTTTGTGGACTAAATTGATACATTTTTGTCTTACTGCTATTAAACGTACATGTACAATCTGTAAAGTTTATTTTTAAGTTTTGTATTCATAAATATATACAAATATCTATGTATCTATGTATGTATATATATATATTTATATAAACACACACACAAATATATATATGTGATATGTTGTAGACTCTACGGGGAAGTGAGCTTCGCCATCTGACCCAGCACAAAGTGATGTTCAAAGTGGATACACGAACAGCTGACAAGAATAAAGTGATATTACAGTTCATCTTGAAACAAAGCACAACAAAGCAGCTCCTAGTTCCCATGCACTTAGAAGGTAATATATTGATTGTCCACAGGGAGGGGGGGGGGGTGGTTTACCTTGAGGGTAATTTTCTGGGGGAGGGGGTATTTGACCGGGGGTCAATTGTAACATTACTCAATCACCGAAATATTATTATTTGTGTATTATTTATAATGAACCATGATTATACAAGCAATAACATGAACATAATGAATGTACATTTTTATGAAGTTAACACAATTCCCTTCTCTTGCAATCAGAAATAATCGCATCGCCAAGACCGTCGGCATCCACATCAGTCGACAATCCTCCTCAAGATGCATCAGCAGAAGTCGATGAAGTTTCTATATCAAGAGCTAGGTTAGAATGGCTAAATAATCGGTTTTTAAAATCTTTTTTCAGCAAGATCGCATTGATGGGATAGGGCAACATTTTGTGCATAATAATCCTTCGATATTGACGGAATAATACCTGTTCCGGACGTATTTTCAACATAGTTGATCTTCTCTGACCAAACGAAAAACCTGTGAGCTTGTCAGAATACTCACATCGCCCATGCAGAAACAACACATCATGCAATGAGTCACAATTGTAAGCTGCGTACGCGCCGGGTAAAATGAAATGTCTTGATTATTCGTCTACGTTCTTTGTAGAGGTGTTGTGGTCGAGTGGATACGTCACCGGACTGACCATCACAAGGTCCGCGGTTCGAGTCCTGCCGCGGCACTAATGTCCTTTGGCAAGACATTGATCTACATTTGCCACTCTCCATCCAGGTGTTCAATGGGTAGGATGCGAAAGCCAATGTGGTATGCTTAGCAATTTTAGCCTAGTAGCTCTTGTTGGAATGCTCCCCAGGGAGTGGAGAAAGTACATACATTGTGTGCGGGCAAGCCAGAATCCGGTGCCCGGGGTAATAATGTAAAGCGTCTAAAAAGTCGGACATTCCCGACATATTTAGCGCTATATAAGCAATTATATTATTATTATTAATACTTTTAGAAATAAGAGTACATAACAAGATATAGGCAATATTATGGGTATTGAAATCGTCGCTAGGTAAAACAAAGGTTTGTTGTTTTGCAAGAGGTAATCAATTGTAAAATTGAGGGGAAAATAAAACTAAGGGCAGTAACACAGAGTCCCGTCACAAAATGTAGGTGTTATAATATTACGATCTGTATTTCTTACTCTTATATTTCTTATAATTAAACAGGGAAGTGAGTGACGCAATGCTAAATAAACTGGCAAGAAACATTCCAAGCTACGCCTACTACACGTTTAGCGAAAAGCTTGGAATCGAGCAAAACCAGGCCAGGAACATTGTGGTTAAGTATAACAACGACTGTTATATGGCAACGATGGAATGCATGGGGATATGGAGGGATAGATCAACTCGTAGTGTAGCTGACTTACACGAAGTTCTGAGAGAAGCTGAACTAGGGGGTTTATTGTTCACTGTAATTAATTGACAACAACAACAAGGTATGCCATGTGGACTCGTGGACTCGTGAACTCATACATACTGTGTATATGTACATATTTAGGAGCATATTATGTTTTGCGAGGAAAGAGATACGTATTAGACCGAAACACCAGAATTGAAAAATATGTTTACATGTATATAGGTTAACAAATATTTCACCCATAGTGCTTCTTCAAGATATATTGAGGCGGCCATGCATGAATGGCAATTGAGTATTCTCCTATTCTTAGAAGAATGGAACATGTTTTGATGTTTTTTGAAGAGCTTGTCATTCATGAGGTCAAATATGATGTTTTTCACCCTTATTTATGCCTCCGCCCACCGAAGGTGGTGATGTAGGCTTTATATTTTCGGGCTGTCCGTCTGTACGTCAGTTCAAAAGTTTTTGATAATATGTATTACCATAGGAAGATGATCTGATAATATTTTGGTTTTAATAGTAGGTCAATTTCACATAGGTCAACATGTGACATTCCAACTATTAGCCTCGTTATCGAAAAATCTCTAGAACTACTAGAAATATGAAGCCCAAACTTGGCGATAATATGTATTACCATAAGAAGATGATCTGATCATTCTGATGTGATTTTGTAGTAACTAGGTTAAAGGTAAACGAGGTCAATTTCTGACATTTCCGGTTTAGCTTTGCTATTGCTATATCTCAAAAACTATGAGAGATATGGGGTTCAAACTTGGTGATAGTATGTGCCATCACTGGAAGACAAGCTAATTAGATGTAAGGAAAGTAGGTCAAATGCCACAGAGGTCATTTTCTGAAACTAACGGTTCCAAGCCTTGATATCGCAATATCTTAACATGATGACAGTATTACTATAGGAAGATGATCCAATTAAATTTTGGGACTAGTAGGTCAAGATCATAGTCGTCAGTTGACATTTGATCATCGGCTTTTGTTTTTATCGTGATATGTCATGAATAACTTCATCCATTTCCAATACTGATCTTAGGGCGAAGCCATATAGGAGACGCAGTCGCATTATGTCTTGTTTGGAATGTGAAATGAGTTGTTTTTCGACTGATTGAGAGATAATCATGATTACGTAATCATCAAAAATGGGGCATGATTGTAAAAGGGAATAAACAGGTTTTCAAGTGATACCAACGTCAAATATGATAATGATATCAAAGTACTTAGCAAAAGATATACCAACGCTCATGGTTGACGGCGGACCTGTTTAAAGGATTTTATTACCATCCTTATTGATAGAATTGTAGATATGAGAGATCGTAGGTGTGCAAATTTTAATCATGATTTCATAATGGACATGTAATTTTGTGATTTAACGTGTCATTTGTTTTTATATGTCAAATTAAAGCTTGTTCAGCTTTAAACCGTGGCAATTCTTTCTTTTGTTCGCAATAAACCGTGGATTTTTTTTTAATTACCTAAGTGTAATACGCTTCTCATTTCTGTATATTATAACACAGAGCTAGGTGAACACAAATGGGAACTTTGTTACGCGCTCTGCAGAGTCGTTTATTTACACCTTTGTCATAAACCCATGGTGTATTTTTCGTGGTTTACCGCGGCATATCAGAACAAGCCTTAAATGTGTATAAATCTCATTAGTTTTCATTTTCATTTCTATCGTAAATTGAAGTTTTGCCCTTTCACAATAAAGCTTTTCAAGTTTAATGAGAGTTTATACATCTTCATATATCTATGCCAAATATTCAATGTAAATATTAATGTATAGGGCTAACATGATATCCACAAAAAATAAAATTAGACTTTGGTGCAGAAAGTCTTCAATATGATACACTAGTAATCTTCATTACCAAATCCACAGGAGAGGACTTAGAACAGTGAGTCCCCGGTTGCTTAATACACATGCTTTCCAATCAAGCAATCAAGCATGTTATAAGCGATGAACCGTAATTTTCATTACATCCACATTAGTCTTGACGTTATAATGGCAATATGTATTTAATATGATATCACATCTAACTGTACATATTACTTTTCTGTGCATAAGACCTACACAGTTAAGGATGTCTATCTTGTGTATATGTATCAAATATCATGATGAGTTTTGATTTATATACATAACTCTGGAGATTATGATTAGTAAATGTTTAACGAGTGTGCCATGTGAAGTATTGTGCACTGCTGATACAAGATTTTTTTGGGCATAGGTTTGCACATAAAATGCAAAATGAACATCATGGTATATAGATTTCATTAAATAATTAATCTCAGTTTTGACATCATTATATTTGTGCGCATAAGCCTGCGCATGTTAAATGTCCAGTGTATTTAGATCTGGAATATTATCATATCTCGATGTTGAGTTAAGCCTGCAACTGTGTGAAATGTATGTGCATAGGTCTGCATATTTTTGATAAGGTTTTATTCGAATATTCAACAATACATCTGGAGGCTGATGCAAGTGAATTTACAAGGTAAAAATAATTCCATAGACATTAAAATATAATTATATGCTTTAACACTTTTAAATGAATCCAGATATAAACAGTACATAGTAAATAAATCATAAATAATGAAAACAATAATAATATTGAGTTCGGTTTGCATACTTGGATAAGAAATAAATAGAAATTCAAAGGGTGTAAGATCAGGTATACAGTTTGAGAGTCGGAGCAGGACATTTTGATAATGTATTAAGCGACAAATTATTATTGATCATTAAAAATTGAAACTAAATGATTAAACTGTAACATTTACATGAAGTATATATACAAAATATAAATTTAGTATATATAAAAATTTAATGTCAAATGTATTTTAGATCGTGTATAATATAATATCTCGGTCTTGAATTTTTTGTAAATTTAGTACATTAAAGTCTTCACAAAATATATAAAGTGCCTCAATATATTTCATAATATCACACCCCAATTGACTTTGGATGTTTGTGCATGAAACTGCACATAATTGTGACTGTTTTAACATGATATCACAACTCACTTTTGATGTTTGATCTTTGTGCATGTATAGTATGCTCATTTTATTGGTGAAAGCCCAATGTATATACACCAATAAATAGATTTCAAACAATATTGCTTATTACTGTTATGATTGGATTTGCGTGTATAAGTCTGCACATTGTAATGTTGCTTGTCGGATACGCCTCTCGGTATAAAATATATTGTTTGCTGCATAAGTCTGCCCGTTTTAATGATGAATGCACAATGTATATACATTTCGTTTAAACTCATATCTCGATCTCTTGTCTGGATTTGTGTGCACAAGTCTGTACACGATGTGTGATGCTCTATGCATAATGTATTTACTATGATAGCGTATCTCTTTCTCTCTCTCTCTCTCTCTGTTGAGTTTTTGCATAATTCTGCACACAGTAATGATAAATGTACATTGCATATATTTCATGTAATATCATACTGAGATTGAAGTTGAGTGCTTAAAGTCTGCACACTATAAATCACCATTACATACATGTATATATTTGCATATGATATCATATTGTAATTGGTTCATAAGTTTGCACGTTATAATGGTACATGTCCAATGCATATACATATATATGTATATAATATATGTATA